AATGCTGGCCTGGATGAATCACAAGCGGGAATTAAGATTGCTGGGGAAAAGATCAACAACCTCAGATATGCAGATGATACCACTCTAATGGCTGAAAGTGAAGAGGATCTAAAGAGCCTCTTGCTCAGAGTAAAAGAGGAGAGCGCAAAAGTGGGCTTGAAGCTCAACATCAAAAAAACTAAGATCATGGCATCCGGCCCCATCACTCCTTGGCAAATAGAAGGGGAAGCTGTGGAAGTAGTGACAGACTTCACGTTCCTGGGATCCCAGATCACCGCAGACTGTGACTGCAGCCATGAAATTAAAAGACGCCTGCTCCTTGGGAGGAAAGCGATGGCGAACCTAAACAGCATGATAAAAAGTAGAGACATCACCCTGCCAACAAAAGTCCGCATGGTCAAAGCAATGGTATTCCCAGTAGTCATGTATGGCTGTGAGAGTTGGACTATAAGGAAGGCCGAGCGCCGAAGAATAGATTCTTTTGAACTATGGTGCTGGAGGAGACTCTTGAGAGTCCCTTGGACTGCAAGAAGAACAAATCAGTCAATCCTCAAAGAAATCAACCCTGACTGTTCCCTGGAAGGCCAGATAATGAAACTGAAGCTCAAATACTTTGGCCACCAAATGAGAAGGGAGCACTCACTGGAGAAGACCGTGATGCTTGGAAAGATTGAAGGTCAAAGAAGACGGGGACGGCAAAGGATGAGATGGTTAGACAGTGTCATCGATGCAACGAACATGAAGTTGAGCCAACTTCAGAGGACGGCGGAAGATCGGAAGGCCTGGCGAGAGCTCGTCCATGGGGTCGCGAAGAGTCGGACTCGACTGTGCGACTGAACAACAACAAACCTGCAGGAACCCCCTGCTGACTTGAGCAAAGTTGTTGCACTGAAACATAGGGAGGGAGGCAGTCCTGCAAATAAGAGGGGCCAAGGCCATGAAGGGCTTTGTATGCGAAAGCCAATACCTTAAACTGAGCACAGTAACATGCCAATGGAGCATGTGCAGAATGGGAGTAATACGCATGCTCTGTCTACCTCCCATTAATAGCCAAGTTGCAGCATCCTAGACCAGTTTGACTTTCTGAGCTGATTTTGAGAAGGGGAGACCAATGTAGTACAATAAATTACAGCAGTCTAATCTCAGTTTTACTGTGGCACGGATCCAGGTGATTTATTGGCAACTGGATCACTCCACCCACTATGTTACGGCTAAGGCTGTAATTGCGTGCACACTTATTTGGGACGATGCTATTTGCAGAGGAGCATGCTCTGTGAACATTTGCATAGGCCCTTTGAAACTAATGGGGCAAGTTAGATTGTTTTGCCCTATTTCTTTCAAAGGTACTTAGTCCTAGCTACCTTTAGCCCAGTATGGGACCAGCTCACATAGGCTAGCCCAACAGACTGAATAAAGATATGTCAGTTGAACATAATCAGACACACTGGCTTCTGAATCTGACCAATGCAACTGGGATAAAGATATTTTCCCATCATGAATAGTTCCCACGGAGAATAGCAAGGCATTTGTTTTCAAAACACTCTTCCTAAAACCAAACAATAATAGTCCTACACTTCATTTTTATGGCAATGGCATTCATAATTCATTTTGTACAGATATATTTAGTGTACAGTAGCTATTTGTTTCCTTTGACTAAGATGCAACTGAATTCAGTTTCACCAAAACATCATCATCTTATCCTGCAACAATTCATCAAGCATAGACACTACCAGCAATTCTACACCAAAAATCTCTCCTTTTTCAATAAATTGACATTAAGCAGTGTTAAGACTGTTCTGAGCATCATTTTTGTTATTGATATTCCGACTTTAATTGCAAGGTTATTGTTTCCTCCCCAACTAAAAACCCACCTATTTATTCATTTCTGGTGGGTCTAGGAAGGTCCTAAACAACTGCTTAGAGAAGGTACTGGGCTGGATGTCAGTAAATTGAAGTTTGATCCAGACAGGAAGGCCCCCTGGTGGACTGAGGAATCAGCCAGTGCTGAAGGAAGTTGTTCTTCCCTTGAAAGAGCAGGTTTGTAACTTGGGAGTTGTCATGATATCCTGTCTCCAGACTTAGAAACTAGGGACTTAAATTTCATATACATTTTACATTTTAAAACCTGATATATATATTTAATAATTGAGACTTTGGAGACCACTTAGTCTTCTAGTCCTCAGTGATGGCAATATTAGAAAACTTGGTTTAGAAAAGAGATGACTAGGGGGCAGACATGAGAGAGGTTTACAAAATTATGCACAGGGTGGAGAGAGTTGACAAGGAGAACTTTTTCTCCCTCTCCCAAAATACTAGAACTTGAGGATATCCAATGAAGCTGATGGGCATTAGATTCAGGATGGACAAAAGGAAATACATAGTTACACAGAGATTGATAAAAATGTGGAATTTGCTGCCGGAGGATGTAATGATGGCAACAGATAACTTGACTTAAACCGAGATTAGGCTGATTCATGGAGGATAGACCTATGAGTGGGTAGAAGCCATAGTGACTACAGGGAACCTCCATGTTCAGTAAACCTCTGAATACCAATACCAGGAGGCAAGAGGGAGTTACAGTTGGGAGATAGAAAAACAAGCTAGGTCTTGGCATAAGAGGAGAAACTAGAAGTTCTTGAAGAAAGTCCTGTTTGAAAGGGATTTAGGATCAGGAAAGCTGATTCATACTATCGTTTTGTCTGTAATGGCCATAAATGGTTCACATTGTTTTATGGAGAATCCAGGTAATGTTGTTTCCAACATGCTGTGTTCTCATCTGCCCACCTGTTCTAGACTTGATTTAGGATGCTTTAAAAAACTTAAAAATCCAGCTGCAGCACCAGCCCATGCAGTCTGGATTGTCAAAACACCATTGAAGTGGGCGGCCGGGGGGGGGGGTACTGTCCCTTAAATTTTCTTTCTCTGTTTTATTGACAGTCTTACTTCTGTACTTATTTATTCCCAGTTCACTTGCAGTGGGCATGGCATTCTTGAACTGATCCTTAAGCATCATTTCCTGTTCCCTGGAAGGGCTATAGGTGTTAATCCCTGGTTTTCTCCTTGTAGATGAATGTGATTTATCAGTATTTTTTACTATTTTAATTAGGCAATTACAAAATGATAGCCATGAAAAATTAATGCGAAATTACTTCAAGTACAAAGAGTAAAGCAGTAATTAAAGCCCCCTCCCTCTCAGAAGAACTACTTGGGTTTTTTAGACAGATACAGGAGTGCTACAGACAGCGTGTATGACCAGGAACTATTTAATTCATTACATCTAAAGGGACAGAACAAAGTTTGAGTCCAGTGGCGCCTTGAAACAAGACTTCCTCAACCATTACATATAGGTAGAAACAGGGGGGGGGGTAGTTGCCAGAAAGGGCCAATTAGAGTCAATTAGCTCTTCCTGGCAACTACCCCCCCCCCATATATAATGGTTGAGGAAGTCTTGTTTCAATGTATCCAAAGAAGTGTGCATGACCAGGAAAGCTTCTACTCAGAATTATAACCTTGTTGGTCTTAAAGGTGCCACTGGACTCAAACTTCATTCTCTTGCTTCAGTCCAACACAGCTATCCACCTGAATCTTATCTAAAAGGACAGTTTGCTCTGACCTAGATGGGCCAGGCTAGCCCTGTCTTGTCAGATCTCAGAAGGAAAGCAGAGTTGGCCTGGGCTAGCGTTTGGATGGGCAACCTCCAAGGAATACCAGGGTCACTACGCAGAGGCAGACAATGGCAAACCACCTCTGAATGTCTCTTGCCTTGAAAACCCTACAGGGTCGCCATAAATCGGCTGCAACTTGGAGATACTACACACACACAAAGGGACCCTTGTTGGGAGAAGTCGTAGCCAATGTTCCCTCTAAGCTGTGGAGTCTTGTGAGCAAAGATCCTACTTTGTGAGCTACAGGCATCAAAGTTATGAGCAAGCGATTTGGCTACTGCATACGTTAGTGTGCTCTGGAGCCATCCTTCCTGAGCTGAGACAAAAATCTGTGAGCTAGAGGCTAAAAAACTGTGAGCTAGCTCACACTAACTCAGCTTAGAGGGAACACTGGTCGTAGCTCTGTTGACTGTGCACAGCACTGCCCGTGTGACACCAACACCCCGCTCCCCAGAACAATTTTGCAAGTTTTAAAATAATTGATGCCCATTTCTGTTAAGGAAACCATGCCGGAGAAGAGGGTTGGAACCGCTTTCATCTCAGTGCTCTGGCCCCAAACCAAATTGCCAGACATGGTTCCTTTTTAAGGCAACGTTAGGAGATCGCAATGTAATCTGCTCTTTGCTCTTATTCTGAAGGGAGTCCCTGACTTGTCCATACTTCCACCCTACTTTTGTATTGATCTCAGAATGGCCAGGCCTTGGAGATACTACACACACACCAGCTGGGGACGGGGGAGTAGGGTTGCCAGACCCAGGTTGGGAAACTCCTGGAGATTTGGGGATGGAACTGGGGAAGGACCGTGGCCTCAGTGGGGTACAATGCCTTAGAGTCCACCCTCAAAAGCATCCATTTTCTCCAGGGCAGCTGATCTCTGGAGATGAGCTGTAATTCCGGGGGATCCCTGGGTCCCACCTGGAGGCTGGAAAAGAAGAAGATTGGATTTATACCTCACCCTTCATTTGGCGTCTCAGAGCAGCTTACAAACTCCTTTCCCTTCCCCTCCCCACAACAGACACCCTGTGAGGTAGGTGGAGCTGAGAGAGCTCTTTCCAGAACTGCCCTTGAGAGAACAGCTCTGACAGAGCTATGGCCTGCCCAAGGTCATCCAGCAGCTGCAAGTGGAAGTGTGGGGAATCAAACCCGGTTCTCCCAGATTAGAGTCTGCGTACTTAACCACTACACAAAACTGGCTCTAGTTCAGTTTGTGTCTGAATTTTTCTCTGTAGTATTTATGACGATTCATTTCATTTACAAGTAGCATTTTGTGGATTTAATGGATGCTGGTTTTAATTACTCATGTCAAGTAACCAGCAGCTTTGCTTCCTTTTCCAGATCATTCTCAGTGGATCCGCAGACAGTCTGTGGTTTGCTCGTGACAACGTCCTACCTCTAATTCAGACAATAAGGACAGAAACTCATCTTGTTGACCTGTCCCTAAGTGATCGCATGGACCCGAGGGAGCTTTGAGCATTTGCTTTGTTATTAAGGAGGCCCAGACGAACTTCTGCCAGTTGACATTAGAAGCAATATATTATGTGAAGATGCACTTTGAGAGTTCCAGTCATCATTCCTTTTCATTGGCTTGGACAGTATCAGAGAACGGTCCCAATTCTTTGAGAAATACATATTTAAAAGTTTCAGATTTTCATATGAATCAACTCTGAAGAACAATTTTAAAGAGAGAAAAAAGATCACCCCAGTCCAGCTTTCTTCATCACACTGATGGAATCCATCATTTCTCTATGAATTATTTAACCTGTTATTTCTAAATATTTATCTCTACGGTGGCCTTTTGTGAAAATCTGTGTAAAATCCACTTTGGACACGATTAGAAACGTTTTGTAACTTTTAGAATCTTAATAAGTGGTTCATATTTATGCCCAAATACTTTGTGTGTGATAGGGCTATTGCAGGGGATCCCCCCCACCCCCCAGTAAATACAACAGGTCCCAGTGGGAAAGGCAGATCCTCAATGAAATAACCTGTCCGTAGAAACAGAGCTTTGCAGGTGAATATGTTATACACCTGGGAAGCACAGGAGAAGACTGAGCAGCAAATGTTCTATCCCATAGGCTCCCTCTCTACTTAAAACCTATTTATTGAGCAGCGTTTTATTAGAGGGGACAACGGTCTAGTCTAGATGGAGCCAAACAGTTACAAATATAAAACACTGTTTCATTAAAATGGTTTTTTTTTTTTCTTTGTAAAAATCTGTTGCATTATTGGATATTAATATAACACTAAGGGAAGGGCTTTCGAACGGCTAGGTTGGCAGGAGCTGGAACGAAAGCAAGAAATTGCAAGCAGATAAATAGGTACCACTTCAGTGGGAAGGTAACAGCGTTCCGTGCGCCTTGGTGTTTAGTCATGCCGGCCACATGACCACGGAAACGTCTTCGGACAGCGCTGGCTCTTCGGCTTTGAAACGGAGATGAGCACCGCAACCCTAGAGTCGGATTCGACTGGCTTTCGAGCAAGGGAAACCTTTACCTTTTTAAGGAAAGGGCATCTGACAGGCCTCAGCAGAGTTACTCCAGTCTAACCCCGTTGAAATCAATTAGACCGGAGTGACTCTCTAGAGGACTGCACTCCGATCGTGCTCAGTTCACATCACTTTCGGTACAATTTTGTGGACACGTTTCTGATAGTCAGCCCCGTTGAGTAGGATTCTGAGTAGACCTACACTGTAAGGCAGCGATGAAGTCCCACTGATTAGGATCCCAAGTAGACCAATACGGCATGATCCTGTAATGAGGTGGCCAACCTCCAGGTGGGCCCTGGAGGGCTCCTGAAATTACAAGTGATCTCCAGATTACTAAAATCAGTTCCCCTTTTGAAAATAGCAGCTTTGGGGGGTGGGCTCTATGGCCTTGTACCCCACTGGGCTCCCTCCCCTACCCACACCCAGGTTCCATCCCCAAATCTCCAGGAATTTCCCAACCCAGAGTTGGCAACGAAGCAGTCTTAAATCAGGTCTACTCAGAAGTAAGTCCCACTTTAGTCAGCAGGTCTAACTTCCCAGAAAGTAATCTTAGAATTACAGCATAATAGTACAGTTCAGAGCAGAATTATACTCTCCTAAATCCATGTTTTGCTACAGAATAATATGTGAGCATTAGGTTATGCCTGAAACTTTCAAGTGGGCAGGTAAACAAGCCAGCAGCATTTGCGGAATCATCTGTCTACTCTTTTTTTTGCCTGATTTAAACAGGTAATTGTATAAACAGTTACATATTTTGCACGTGCGAATGGTTACACCAAAAACATTCTGAAATCCTGCTGAAAACTTTGCCTTACAGGTATGAGATGTCCCATGCCAAAGGTAATCGCTTTAATATTTACATGCAAAATTTTAAAAGCCTATATTGTTTGCTGAGCATGTATCTCTCAGTTTTGCGTACACAATAGTCCAAAGAATATTTTTCAGAGCTTCTGGTCAAAACCAATAAATGCTATAAGCTGCTGCTTCTTAAAAAAGGGGGAATATGAAGAATTTAGGGAAATATAGTTTCTAACCTATTTTTCGCTGTTATGCTGTGCCATTTGTGCAAAACTGAGCCATTATCATGTGGTCTGAAAGTGTCTGTTCCTTCTGTTTATGCATAGCATTCCATATGTGTAAAGTGCTTATTTAATGTTATTCATATGTACAACTCCCCTGCCATGTGGGCTGCTTGCCTTTCTTTCCATTTTACATGTCAGGAACTGAGACCACCGCTATCTCCAATCATTAACTCCTTTATCCCATTAATTAGGTACCCCTTACTGATAATCAGCCAGAGGACAGCATAGCCTGAACTAGGTCAAGCTCCTTCATCCAGGATGGCGTTACCCTAAAGCAACTGTTCTCGGAAGCTTGCATGCAATGCATATGCTTGGCACAATTGGGAGGCTTAACCTCCTCCAGCTATTGCAAGACGAAATTCAGAGGAAGCTGCTTGTCAGTCCCCCACCCCAGTCCTTTTGCCTCTTGGAGAGTTGGTGAGGGAAATTTTTTTAAAGTTGGTGACGTCATGTGCACCATTACATCGCTTGTGGCGAAAACCTGGAAGTGCTGGAGGGTAACTCTAGGAAATACTGGGAACTCTGTGCCTTTACTATAGAGTTTCCAGTGATTCCTAGAGCTACCCTCCATCACTTCCTGGCACATGCGACTTCACTGCCCTCCATCTCTATCCCCAAATCTCCTGCCAGTTGCCAGGCACTTTGGGTACAGGGCCCCTGAACCATTCATGAGTCCCAACTTCTGCCCAATCATACCTCCTGCATTTGTTGGGGAATAACACAAGGTCTTTGCATCTGATGGCGTGATGAGAGTATTGTGCCTGCTAGACATACACTGGCTCTTTTCTGACTACAGCAGGCAGGAAGAAAGGACTTTAGCCTCTCCCTCTGCTGTTTTTATATCCAAAAATCCAGGAAGCTGCTATAGGTTCTTATGTAAGTGACATACTTTGTAATGTGTAGCTGGTTGGAACCCTGGTGGTGTGAAAGCCATGAGTCAAAGGGAGGGTAATTTGTTCACAGCTATGTGGTGTGAATCTGCATCCAAGTTAGAACCTCAGTTCTGCCAACTCTAGTAGAGTATTATAGCTACAGTCACTGCAGTTCGGAGACCTCTTTTTTGATACACCGTGAAGGATTAATACTTTTATCTCCAGCAGGTTAGAGATTTACAAAAAGGCCCTGAATAATTTCTTCCAAATCACATTCAGTATATGGCAGGGGGTGAAAAAAGAGCTTCCTCCCAGCGAAGGACCATCAGGTTCTACAAGGTTTCAAAGACAAATCTGTTATTTGAGTTGAGCCATAAATCAACATATCAGACTAATCAGTGGGCAAGACTGAAGAGCGGCTTGTTCCTACAAGGACAGCAATATTCTTCTGGTTGACAGAGCATATCCAGCCAACAGAATGCAGCTATCACACTGGGTCAGGTGGTCTACGGCTTTGGGATCAGTGCAAATGGAAGCCCAAGTACATCAAAAGCAAAGAGTGCCTGTGGAATTTACCACACCATTACAACCTTCCTTTAAACAGTTGCTTGTAAAAGCCACACAAACTCCAGACCTCTTCTGAACAATTCCTCTACAAAGCTATAAACCATGAAGTAAACGCCAGCTGTTTGCGAAGCTCAGCGGCTTATCTGTTTAGCAAGAGGTCAGAGGACATATGTTGTCCCACTGAGCTCTCTTTGCAGTGTTTCCCCTTTGAGTCAGAATCCCATTCAAGGTCTATGACCTAACAGGTAAAGTCCTGCAAAGACCCTGTGTCAAGAATTTAAATTCACAGTCTAATCCTAAACAGAGCCATACCCTTCTGCACCTACTGACTTCAGTAGGTTTCGAAGGGTGTAATGTTGTTTAGGATTACACGGTCATTCTTTCAATCAATATGCTGCATTGTCCTGAAAACAGATCTCCACTTTCTGATCAGAAAATGCTTAACATAATAGTTGGAAGATGCAGAATGATAGTAACATTTTCCCCAGAACTACAAACTTCAAATTATGGAATTTATTCCCTTTCTTGGGGGGGGGGGGGGGGGGGGGGGGTGCTGGGGATATTACCCAATCCTAGTCTTATCTAAAGATGGAATAGGAGAACTCATGTTTTTTAACATAATAAAACACATGTACTTTGGAATTAGGTCCTACAGATTTGAATAGGAATTACTTCTGAATGAATAGGTGTGTTACTGGGTGTAAAGTGAATGTCTACAAATAAATCTACAAACCTAATACTGAATAAGCTACTTGTACAGACTGTGAAAAAATGTTTTTAGCTCTATAATTCTACGGGGGGGGGGGAGGAAGAGTTAAAAACATACTGTCATAAAGATGCCACGTTGGCTTCATTAGAAGAGCTATATAAATGAAATGAGATTTTATCCTTGAGATCCTGATGCTGTTTTAAAAGTGTGCTGCAGTTTTAGTACATGTCATTTACATAGGACAAGCTAGCAAAGTATTATACATGCAGTGTTTGGGATTTTATTAATCTAATATACAGAAAAATAAAATAAAATGATAACTGTATGGATAATGAAAAGAAGTAAAGTTGTAGCTTGTGTTTCTTATACATTTACACATCTTTTTCAGCACTCCTGGGTTCAAATATTATCTAGCCATACTTATCTACCCATACAGTGTGACACTTATTTTCCAGAATTCAGCCACGGCCTTTCCACATTTTCAGGATAGTTTATTGCCATTCTGAAATCCATAAATTGTTTAAAAATAAAAAAAACCCCACAAGACTATAGAAAATGGAGGTTGGTGGGAATGCCTGTCCAACTGGAAAACCATAGAGTTTTCCCTCGGATGACCGTAGCCCCGCCCCCAGCATGCCCGGTGTGGTCGCGTCACTTCTGGGTGACGTGCACGTTACGGTGGGGTTCCCCCTGGGGCCCGATCCGCTGGCGGTGGGGAACGGGCCTCTAGGGCGGGAGTTTCCCCGCCCCCCGGGGGGACTTGGCAAGCCTATACCACATGCCCAACCCATACACATGCCATATAATAAGAATGTATCTCCTGTTTATCCCACCCACCCGTTTTGTTTGCCCCTAGGCCAAGATTTAGGTTGTAAGCTCTTTACACAGAATAGGAGCTGCCTTATGTCCCATAGTATGTTGATTATATAATATAAACAATTTAAAAAGTTAAAAAATATACAGCCAGGGGACAACATACCTTTGGGACCACCTCTCCCCAGGCCCCTGGTCAGGATTTTTAAAGTCAGGGGGCATTTAAATTTCTTAGGGGGCACTGGCTAATCGAATTAAAGGAATACCCGGCTCCTTCCCTGCACCTGCTGCTGCTTGGGGGCCCTGGGCTGGATGGGAAGTCGTGGGGCCTTGCCAGTAAGTCAGGGGGCCTAGCCCCGAGATGCCCCACTGCAGCGACAAGCCTGCCTCTCCCCATACGAGCCCCATAAAGCAGAGATCTACAAATCAACACCTTTTGGTAGTCCCTGGCCCCAGGGACTTGCCTAGACTAGGGCCAGGGCCTTTTCAGCCTTCAAGATTTCAGTTGCTGTATTAGTTAAGGCACAGCAGCTCCAATTTTGGATAGGTCTCTAGTAGGATTCCAAGTCTCCAGTTGGGGCTTGGAAACAGGCCTGTAGCTATAGTGGGACATTTGGGGCTCCGCCCACTCAAATGTGAGGCACGCCTCACAGTTGCTGCTGCCCCTCTCCCCCTGTGACCTTAAAGGGGCCCTCCAGCTGATTGGCGGGAGCATGTGGCCACTGATCAGCTGGAGGGCCCTTTAAATCTCGCAGGAAGGGAGGGAGAGGGGCAGCGACATGCCTTCCCTGAACTCCAAGGCCTTCTCTTTAACTGGTGTTTTTTAAGTGGGGGTTGGCCCATGCCTGAACTCCAAGCAGCAAAATCGCCACTTGGGAGTTCAGGGAAGGTGTGCAGCTGCCCCTCTCCCTCCCTCCTCCCCCACAGAATTTCCCCATGCCCCACCAACTCAAAATTTCTGGCTACAGGGCTGCCTGGAAACCTCTTGGAATTATGGACGACCTCCAGACTATACAGATCAGCTTTCCTGGCTGCTTTGAAGGTCAGACTCTATGGGATTATACCTTGCTTGAGGTCCCTCCCCAAATCTCCAGGAATTTCTTTACACACAGGCTGCAAGCACAGGAACATAACTCATCAGATTGGAATAAACCGGCATATGTGGTTCATCTACTTGATGAACAGTTCAGGCCAATGCGGTACACTTACTCCACTCTAACATCTAAAAACCACTAGACTGGAGTAAGCCTGCCTAGGAATCCTAGGCTAGGATTGCACTATAATGCTGCATATTTATTCATGTTTTCCTAGGAACAAGCCCATAGTGGTCATGAGCAATGTTCCCTCTAAGCTGTGTTGTAAGCAAAAATTCTACTTGGTGAGCTACTGGCATTAAAGTTGTGAGCGACCGATTTGGCTACTGCATAAGTTAGCTTGCTCTGGAGCCATCCTTCCTGAGCTAAAACAAAAATGTGTGAGCCGGAGGCTAAAAAACTGTGAGCTAGCTCACACTAACTTAGCTTAGAGGGAACACTGGTCATGAGGCACAACAGGGTTTACAGGAGGGCCTGGCTTGATGTGGTCCATGGAGTCGCGAAGTGTCGGACTCGACTGTGCGACTGAACAATAAAAAAAAAGGCGCGAGGTGCATGATCACTTAACACGGTTCCCCTCAGCAGCTCAGATCAGCCGCCGCTCCATCGAGTCCAACTACCCACTTAGCGCACTATGACATTTCCGCGCGTGCGCACGACGAGAGCGTCACATCTCGCCCAGGACGGACCGTAGTTTGGATCTGAAGGATTCGGAGCCTCACCGCCTCGTCTTGCGGGGAATTGGTCAAAGCGGGCGCAGGCGCAGAGATATAATCGGCACCAGAAAGCGAGGGAGCGGGATCTTGGAGCGAATGAGTGGGTGGGATGGGGCGACAGCGAGCAATGGGCGTGTCCCCGCTAAGTATGGGAAAGGGGACGCTCGCTACAGAGTGTACAGAGTCGCTCTAGGCCACGCCCTCGTTCCTCCTTTGCCGCTGAGAGGTCGCGGCGTCCTCACGAGGAGAAGGCGGGTCCCGAGGAGGTGGGGCGTGCCTGCTGCTGCGTGTGTGTCAAGCGGCACGCGCGGGGTTTCCCGCATGCGCAGTGGCTCCGTGCCGTTGAGGCGCGGGCGGGCGGCTGGGCTGCCTCTCCGGCCTCGCTCGGCGCGGTCTGTGACAACAGGCAGTCGCGGCGCCCGCAGGACGCTCCGGAGCCCCCGGGGCTATGACCTGCCTCCCTGGCTTCCTCAGCGGCGGCTCTCCTTGCGCCGCCCTCCGCGCCCTGTTCAAATCCTCGCGGCGGCGCCAGCATCCTCACCATCCTCAGCGGCGCTTCGCCTCAGCGCCCAAGCTCCCTCTCCTCGCCTCTGCCGGGCTCCCCGCGCCTGCCTCGTTGGCGTTGGCGTCGGCGGGCCCCGGGCCCTCGGCGCTGTCGTCGCCCTCGCCACGGCGGCGCCTCTGCGCGGCTGCCTCCTCGGAGCTCCCCTCCTCGAAAGCCGGCGGCGGCGGGTTCCCCCCCTCCCGGGTGGTGGTGGTGGCCAAGACGACCCGCTATGAGTTCGAGCAGCAGCGGTACCGCTTCGCCGGGCTCTCCGAGGAGGACCTCAAGCAGCTGGTGAGGGGCGGGGGGGGGCCCGGCCTTGGGTTGACCACGTCCCCCCCTCCCCAACCACCACCGGAGGGGGATGTGGGGGGTAGGGTTGCAAGATCCAGGCTGGGAAACTCCTGGAGATTTGGGGATGGAGCCTGGGGAGGACGGGGACCTCTGCGGGGTCCAATGCCACAGAGTCCACCCTCCAGAGCGTCCATTTTCTCCAGGGGGACTGATCTGTGTAGTCTGGAGGTTAGCTGTGATTCCCCGATCCCACCTGGGGACTGGCATCCCTAGCTCAGTGCATCCGGGTGAGGTGGTAGAGCCCTCGGGAACCTTGGGGGGAGGGCTGTACTACCTTAGATAACAGGTGCGTGATAGCAGTTTGGGGGACTTCACCTACCCTGTTTCCCCGAAAATAAGACCTACCCCAAAAATAAGCCCTAGCAGGATTTCTATGCATTGGTGGTATAAGCCCTAGTGTGTCTTCTTGAGAAAAAATAAATATAAGACAGTGTCTTATTTTCGGGGAAACACGGTATTTATTTATTGATTGGGTTTTTATCCTGCCCTTCCCTGCGTGCAAAAAGGGGGAGGGGGTTCCTTAGAAACAGAAATCTAGAGGGTTCCAGTCTCTTCTCCCTGGGCTGCTAGTTTTGTGTTTACAGAAAGTCCCTTTTTCTGTGCAAGGAGGAGCATTCAGAAACAGTAGCCTATCATTCTGCTGCATGTGTCAATCTGGCGTTTTGTGTACACGTGCACGTAGTCAATACGGGAAACTGTTTATGTTAAAACTATGCCTATTCACTGAACATACTCTTCTGTCAGACCTGTGATACATATGTGCGATCATGGGGTGAGCAGGGTCACACCTGTTTGTGCTGCCCTTTATGTTCCTTCCATATAACTTCTGCAAGAGTTTATACATCTACTAACTGTGACTACAGGCCTGCTTTTTGCATGGGATGTAGGTGGGATCCCACTTGCCTTCATGCATGTGTTAGCTTGTACATGTGTGTGCAGCCCTGTTGCCTGTGGTGATGGGAGTAAACCAGCAATGCCTGCCCTCTTGCCAAGGTTATTTTTTTAAAATAATCAGCTATGTTTGTGATCTGTAGTCAAACAAATAGGTACAATTTGAATTTGAACTATGAGACAGACTAGAGTATCAAAGGGGGAAAAACCCAGCAGGGCTTGATTCACTTGCTCCTTGACACAGTGGTTATATTTTCGTTAACAAGTGTGTGAGAGATGATTACTTCAGCTGACTCTCTATGTGTCTTCTGGGAAACCTAAAGAATAATGCTTATCAGAAGTGTAAACTTTTAGCAGAAAACACTTTTGGCTCTAATGAAAACTTAGTTCAATTTCTTAGGTGCTAGAGGTAATTTTTAAACTGTCAGTCTGCTTTTCCATGTTTGAATGGCAGTCCTGCAGCTTTCCCTGGACTTCCTAGCAACTTTCTATGGCGAGGGCCATGTCAGATTCTGCATGCAAGAATTGTTACCCATGTCTTTTTTGGTGTAGGAGAAAAAGATTGGAGTGGAGTTTGAACTGAAAAACAGCCAATGGATCACCCTGTTTCTTTCTGCTCTTGATCTCATCTGCCCAAGGCTACATTTCAATTATATAGAGTCAGAATGGTCTGCATGTGTGTGTGGCATTCAGTTTGCTCTGAATCTCTTAATCATTGATTTTTCCAGTCAAAACACTGATCACATACATTCAAACATGTGCCTCCTAGAAGATTTACTGTTAGGCTTACTGTACATACAATTGCTTGTTTCGACTATATGTTCCCCATTTCTGTAATCATTTTTATGACCCACCCATCCTAAAATATATTGGCTGTTAGCACTTTGATCCCTAAATATTTTACGCAATATACACTAGCTAGTACTAAGGCTTACAAGACCACTTCACTTTATAGTCATTTCATTTGGGCAAAGAGTAACTGTACATGGTTGCTCATCCCCAGCCATTGTAAAAGACCCCTAAGGACTGTGACTGCAGCACACATAAAATGCAGTTCCATTATACTGGGTCACTGAACAAATATCTTGTCTTCTGGTAAGTGACAGCCCTTGTGGTCTCACTAAATATTGTTACATCAGGTCTTTTCAACCCTTGACCAGTATCCCTTGTACATATCTCACATGTGTATAGTATATCTTATACATTATAGAAATCTATAGTGTATTTTCTGCACAATTATTATTTCAATATCCTTGGAATAAGCATTTCTATGTACAGCGAGCATAACATAGATCTGCCAGGAGATGCATTTTTGAATGGCTGCCCAAGGCAAACCAGATGTCACATGCAGATGTGTACCTGTCATGCAGAAGTACATCAGCCACCAACAGAAGTATTTATGATTCAGTATGGAAATTGATTTTTCCAGTCAAAACACTGATCACATAAGATTGTTGATCTGAGGAAAACTAGCTAGATGGGTGCCATTTTCGGGCTGCTGTGTTTTTTGCAGGGCAGTGTTTTGATGGCTGAATGTGTAGCACTAAAATTCTCTCTACTGGACTTTTGGCTCTAGAAAGAGATAAAGGTGGGGGCCAGGTAGCTAGGAGAGGGATATGGTAGAATTGTGAAGAGGGATAACCATTTGGGGAAACAGCAGCAGCATGAGAATAGGAGCATGCATTGGCAGAAGGAGGTGAAGATTGATATCCACATGAATAGTTGCTGCCAAGGCTACATGATACATCTGCTAAAGCCAATTAAAATTATGTACATATTTTTAAAGAATGACATATCTAACATTTCATGGTAATACATGTAATACATCATTTACTCCTAGTCTGCCTGTCTCTGTAGTAATTAGTGTCTGTTGCAAACTTCCTAGGTACTGTGTTTATGTTTAGTATAAATTCCCTAAAGTATACCATTTGGCAGTGTCTGTGACCATATTGAATAGGAATGCCCACTGCATTGGCTGTAACATACAGAACAAGGTAGTCACCCTCCCTGAAAAAATGTACATAACAGTCTCAAGATCAGTAGGATTACTGTGTTCATGTGATGTGTAATGTTGGGATCACTCTACTTTCTGTATTGATCTCTTGGCTCATTTTTAGTGAATTTGTGCACCTGGATGCAGCATCTAGTTCTTTATTATGGTGACATTCATAGCATCTCCTTCCTTGACTTATCAGAATTCCATTTGAGGCATATGACTTACATAGACAGTGTCTTTCTTTTTTGCCATAGGTGGGTAGTGTGTATTTCCCTTCCATTTCAGCTTGTTTTTGACTACAGCTGTTTTTCAAAACCAGTTCTAAATTAAGTGACTTGCTATGGAGCAGCACTTTCACACCATCATCAAAGCTGTGCAGCAGGGCTAAGATTTTGTGTAGGAAATAAGGTGCTGTTAAGTTCTTATTTTCCATTCTAGACTTCTTACTGTTTTGCACTTGACAGCAGGAGGGAGTTGTCTTGACAGTGCCGCAAAGTGACACAGCTTTGCCAAATTGTGTTGTGTTGTGAAGGCAATGGCTGCAGATCAAAGAATTTCATTAACTCTGATATTGCCATTTCTTGGCACAGTCTCAGGCTTTCTTTTCCCACAGTTTTAGAAGTTCTGATGTGAATGCCTGTGTGTTCACTCCAGGCAAAAAAGATACTAAAATAACTTCTTGGAACAATGTTGTATTCTTTGAATTTGTTTTTCTGAAGCCTATGTACAGTGTTTCAGAACATAATTGTAATATTCAGAGGTCTCACTAGTTCTGTCTAGTTTTTTTATCTATTGTGGAGCAGAAAAAGGAAATTTTCCATTGATTTATATATTCTTCATCTACTTGGTTCTTCTAGCTTCTTGGTTTTTTAATGCTTGGGATTAAGTACTGCACCAAGAGCTTAATCTCTGAAGGCTATTATAGAAAAAGCCATTAATAATTTGACACTGACCTCTTTCCCATTTTAGGCTTAGACTTGGTCTGCTAAGCTCCCAGAGCAGGTTTTCTTTATATATGCTGTTAAGATTAGTTTGGGTTTAGTTGCTACCAAACTGTGATCTAATGTGACGTTGATCCGTTTAAATTAGCTTTGCTGATATATTCACTCAGCTCACTATGTTTGCTGTAAGAGGACAATTCTAAATACAGCTGGAATCTACCTTGTGGAGATGTCTAGAAACATCAGTTACCCTGACTCTCTGAGTTGGATTCTGCAGTATGTCACCAGAAGGTGCTGACCATTGCCAAACTTCCAGGCTTTTCCCTCTGTCCAGCAACTATTTCCAACCCTGGGAAAGGTTATTTCTTGGATTGAGGGTTTTGCGTGGAGTAGGTCAGAAGGCTGTACTGGGGAGGGGTAAAATTGTTTCCACCTTGTGAGAGAGGCACTCCACTGACAAGAGGGGAGCAATTTGCCCTATTCTCACTGCAGCTGCTACTCACATGGGAGCTGTGACCCTGGGAATAAACATTCCCAGGTCAGAAATGGACACCGAGGGTGGAAGAATCTGGGAAGGTTGGGGTCTTTGTGTAGACATTGTAGTGTATCTGTAAGCTAATGTTAGTAAAATTCTTCACTAACCATGATCATCTTAGTTGCTTTTCTGTTAAGAACATAAAAGAAGCCAATGCTGGATCAAACCAATGGCCCATCCAGTCCAAGACTCTGTCACACAGTGGCCAAAAATACCAGGTGCCATCAGGAGGTCCACCAGTGGGACCAGGACACTACAAACCCTCCCACTGTTGCTTCCCCCAAGCATCAAGAATACAGAGCATCACTTGCCCCTGACCGAGAGTTCCTATCTATACCTTTTGGCTAATAGCCACTGATGGACCTCTGCTCCATATGTTTATCCAATTCCCTCTTGGAACGGCCCATGCTTGTAGCCGCCACCACCTCCTGTGGCAGTGAATTCCATGTGTTAATCACTTTTTTGGGGAAGAAGTACTTCCTTTTATTCGTTCTAACCAGACTGCTCAGCAATTTCATTGAGTGTCCATGAGTTCTTCATTGTGAGAAAGGGAGAAAAGTACTTCTGTTCCTTATTTTGGTATCTTAAATGTTGAACACAAAATAATTATTGTCTGTGCGTGTAAGTATATATCTGTAGATAGACTAGGAAGCATGTTTTTAGTGCCTTTTTAATGGAATATGTCTCTGCCAGGACATTTTTGATCCCACCAGGCTGGCTTTGTTTGCACATACATGGTTTCCGATAGTGAGTGTTTACATTGTGATCTGATAGGACAATCCAAAGGTCAGATTTTTGGACACATCTCCAAATGATGAAACTCTTTTGTTTGAACAAAGTTCAGTTCACTGTGTGTTGTGTTAAGCAGATATATATTAAAATGCCTGCCATAACAATCCATGGAATACTTTCTGTCTTGGTATCCTTGACCTTCTGATGAGGCTAAACACACAGATTGGGTATCTGTTCAGATTTGTATGGATTATTTTCATAGCAATTCTCTTAAACCAAAGCTGTAACACGCACAGCCCTGGATTATCAGGCTTTTTAGGGTCCACTCTGCAGCCACAGCACCCCTGACTACACTCTACTTAAGTGCTGCTTTCAGGCAAAGAGGTCTCAGATACCGTGTTTCCCCGAAAATAAGACACTGTCTTATATTTATTTTTTCTCAAGAAGACACACTAGGGCTTATACCACAAATGCATAGAAATCCTGCTAGGGCTTATTTTTTGGGTAGGTCTTATTTTCGGGGAAACAGGGTAGTTGGCTGGCATCTTTATGGGTATATCAACTGCCACTTGAATTACCTCATAAGATTTTGCTTCTTGAGCAAGCGGAGCTGCCTACTGCTGCATGATAAGATCTACAGACTGCATTACTGTTCTACTAGCATTAGAAGAAAAGCACAACGTGACATTCTGCACTTAAGCCCACACGTGGGAAGCCTTCCTCTGGACAGAGCAGCAGCTCTTCTTGCAATTACTTCTAAAACCCAATTGGAATGACGGGGCATCAGGGATGCTGTCATCTCAACAAATCCAGTTTTAATCGGGGCCCTCTCCCAAGGGGCAGTCAGCTCACCTGTCTCCTCCTGTTTTCAGCAAGTTGGTCAGTCCATCATTTCCCATTGACTTGTCAGTTCATTATATTGCCTACACAGCTGCAGAGTTAGGTTGAGGTATAGCGTTCTGTTGACTATGTACAAACTATTCTATGAGTTCTCTGAATGTAGCTTACTGTAAACCTGTAGAAGATGTAGTGTTCAGACCAGTATTATCTCCCACTTAATTAGGCCGTATTGGTAAGCACTTTGAAGGCTGCACAGAATTACAATCAAGTAAACAGATTGGCCAGCCAGAATTCTGAAAGCTACAGAGAACTAGAATGAAGCACTCCCTAGAGATGTTGATGTGTGAAAACCACCATCCTTTTTTGTAATAATATGAGTTCCCCCCCCCCCCCAGTTTTTCTTCTGTGAGTTTGATGACTCAATTTGACATGCTTAATTTTTTTTTATTTTATATTTTTTTGAGCTTGGTGTCCTCTTAAGCGCTTGATTTTCTACAAGTACCTTAAAGTGCATGCCCATGCTCTACAAATACAGTTGCCAGGTTGCCAGTGGAAACTAAATTTTAATTCCAGTAACAGGGTAAGCTTCCAGTATACTCCACTGCTGAAAGAACAAATCCTTTAAAAGTCTCTGGCAATACTAAGAGGTATAGTGCCTCTTCCCAAATGTCAAGCTGCATCTGTGTCATGGGTTGGTGTTATGTGGTTGCTATACACACATACCCTCTCTGCAGTGGAGGCTTCTTTCCAGCCCATAGGTACAAATTGTTATTACTTTGCCTCTTTCAAGCAAGAAGCAAAATACTAAACTCTTGTTGGCCTCCAAGCCCAGTCAGAATTGGTGGGCTTATGTATATTCTTTAATGTATAGTTTACATTAGTGAACTAAGTACCTTATACAGTGGTTCTTAAAACTGTAAGGCAAGCCTCCCTAGGCAGATTATGGAGGCCTAAGAAATAAGACAAAGGCAGTGGAAACAGTGTAAAAATAACATGATTGCTTAACTGGTGAAGTTTTATCCAGTGCCATCTGGCTATATAGTCCTTTGGCAGAAATCATGTGGTCTACTCATGTATCTGTGGTTTTTCCTCACATGGATTCTTAAAGTTATTTAAAACCAGTTGAGACTAAAGGTGGATTATAAAACAATGCAATAAAAACTAGTATGAAACATACAATAAACAATGCAATAATGGTGGATTACACAGAGAAGCTATGAAATAAAATCAGTATAATACTTGCTATAAGCAATGCAGTAAAAGAGGGAGAAAGAAAAGGGAAAAAACTTCCTGTAGTTGTTTCAGACAATTAAATTTTGACCTATTCCCTTTAGAGAAAAGTGCTCTCTGCAGTAATTACATTTTACTACATCCCTATTCCCTTTATATGAAGAAGAAGAGATTGGATTTATGCTGACTCCCTTCACTGAGAGTCTCAGAGCGGCTTACAAACTCCTTTCCCTTCCCCAGAACAAACACCCTGTGAGGTAGGTGGGGCTGAGAGAGCTCTTTCCAGAACTGCCCTTTCAAGGACAGCTCTTGTCAGAATTATGGTTTGCCCAAGGTCATCCAGCAGCTGCAAGTGGAGGAGTGGGGAATCAAGCTCTGTTCTCCCAGATTACAGTCCGCACACTTAAGTACTACACCAAACTATGAGAATGTAGGAGTTCTCATTATGGCACAACTGTGGCACATCTGTGCCCATGTCCTTGATTATATTGTTCTGTTATCAACCAAGTCTTCTGAGCTTGGGAATTATGAATCTCTTTTAAAAATTGCTTACAGTATCTTATCTTTAGAATTTGCACACGGTGGCATTTCCATACATATTCTTTTCATGAAACAAATAATTTTCAACAGCAACTTTTACTGCAGTATATCAGTTAAATCAATATATTAAACATTTTGTGAACAATAAATTTAGGTGTGTAAAGGTTGGCAGATATATAGAATATGCAGAACTATCCATTATGCTTGTAACAGTTACGTACTCAGTAGAATGATCAATATATTCAGCTGCAGAGCATTTGTCTTCACTACATGGTTACCAAGGTAGGTGGTTTTCCAAAGAAACTGCATGAGAGAGATCCAAGTACCGGTCTCCAGAGTCATAAGTGATTTGATCTTTTGTTAGCAACAATACAAAATATTCGTATTTTTTTGAAAAAACATTTGTGTTCTGCTTGTCCTATGTTCAGACAGCATAAGAGATGGAGCCAACTTAAGTCATGAATACAGTACTTAAGACTCATAGAGCAGAACAAAACACCATCCGAAATCAATTTTGCATCCTGTATGGAAGAGGAAGATTGATCACCACTTTGGGGGTCAGGAAGCTATTGTTCTCCAGCCCAGTTTGGCCAGGGATCCTGGAGGGTTTTTTTATTGTTGTTATTGCTCTCTTCTGGGCATAGAGCAGGGATCACTGGGGGGTGGGGGTGGGATATTTGTGAATTTCCTGCATTTTGCAGGGGGTTGGACTAGATGACCATGGAGATCCCTTCCAACTCTATGATTCTATGATTCTAGAAGAGCAGCTTCACACCTCAACAGTAGGCAGAGAGCATCACAAAGCCTTGCAGTTCTGGTAACAGTCCTGCTTCTTGCAGTGGGTATTCTAACTTCATAAAGAAGGCAGCTTTTGGAGCAGGGCCTGACCATCTGAACTTAAACGGCATAGAACTTGTATGGGAGAAGTGGTCTCTATAAGGCCCAGGCTGTGAAAGGACTTAAAAAGTAAGCATCAGCATACTGAAGGAGTCATGGAAACAAACTAGTAATAATTGCACATGGTTGCAAAGATAGCTAAATGTTACAATTTCTGGTATTTGTCAGTGGCTTCTGAGTTGCACAAACTGACCTTGTGTGCAGAATTTTACACACACTTTTACTAAACCTTTTAATTTTTTTTTCCATTTTATTTTATTTTTTTAATTTTATTGAAAATCCAAAAATAATACAAACTAAAACAACCATTCAAACAGTAACAGGTAATTTAGTTCAAGGTAAACAATACATCACCATTACAAAGGGATAGCTATCAACCGACAGATTGCAACCATTATAAAAGAGAGGAATCATGTTTTACCACAAGTTCAGACTATTAATTATATCAGGTATGACATCCTGATGTACCAAATATTCAAGCAAAGGAAGCCAAATAATAGCAAAAGTAACAGAAAATAACCCTTTTAATTTAAAGGGTAGTATTTGAGGCTTGTGTTTTTAATTTTGACCAGTGTCAAGGGTATTAACGTTAAATATTGAAGATATTTGCTGTTTCAGTTACATTAAAAATACATGGTCAAGACTTTACAGTTGGATTGAAGAATACATTAAATGAAATGTGAATACAACCAAAACAGAGGACAATGAGAAAATTTATATTAAACTGTGCAAAAGGTATATTTAACATTATAAGATGTAGAAACATACTTTTATTGAGAGATATATGAACAATTTAATAGTTAACTCAAAGAGTTGGAGATTCTCCTATTGAATGTTTGTATGTATTATTGTTTGTTTTTATTCGTTTGTCTTTCTCTGTTTGTTATAAAATGAAAAAAAAATTACCCCCCAAAAAGGATAGCTTGACAGTTGACAGTTCATATCTTGCTACGATGGTTTTTGTGGCAGTTACCTTCTTTGCTAAATTGTGGTTTTATCTTTTGCAGCTTGCATTAAAGGGATCGAATTACAGCGGGCTACTTGAGCGACATCATATTCATATTAAAAATGTGGAGCATGTTGTAGATAGTTTAAGGTAAGGGTATGTATCAAGAATTTTGACTTGACTATTTGGAAATTATCTCAGTAATCAGAGTTCTTGATATTTGGAACACGATTCCGATGTCTGTCCTACATATATCTATTATTACAATGGCTCTGAGCAAAGCTGTTTTTCACATGCAAAAGGGATTACATATACTTAGCCTGGACCTTCATTTCATTTTCTGTTCAGCAGCTACCAGCAAACCGCAATACAGTTTTTCTGAAAATTTGTGTTTTAGAAGCATCTTATGTTTTTGCAAAAGGGTTGGGGTTTCTGTGTAAAGAGGCAAAAAGTTTGGCTGTATAGGCAGTTCTGTGAATTGTGCCCAGTATTCTCAAAGCTCTGTAGTATTTAGTGAACTAGCCAATAGTATGTGAGTTGTCTGAACCTGTGTCCAGTTGAATATAGACAAATTACAGTCTGGTTTGGGGACAAACTGTGTTGATTACCTTAGCTGCTGACCTTCACTGGGAAAAGGGCTAGGAGAGAGTCCCTTTTCATTCTCTTCAGCCCCTCATCAGTTTTTGGTTCAATTAATTGTATCCTAGTTAGCTGAGGTGGGTTGCAGGGGCTTTGCTCATTGGCAGTTCTCCTTCTTGGCAGACCAGTTCCAGAAGGTGGTGGCTGGGGAAGAACTATTTGACCCAGAACATCTAAAATACACTGTCCCAGAATGCTCTATTCAGTTCCCTCATGTTGTTTAACGTCTACATGAAAACCCTGGGAGAAATCGGCCAGAGATTTGGAAGTACAGATCTCCTCTGTGGTCCGTATGTAGCACCTTTAACCAATTTACCCATGCTGATTATAATCCAGGTTTAACTACTGCAATGTATTCTATGTGGGGCTGCTGATGAAGACTACTCGAAAGCTTCAGCTCACTCAAAATGTGGCAGCTTAGCCCGGGCATAGCCAGAGGCACAAGCACTTAAGTGTGTCAGTATTTCTCTGTAAGCTGCTTTGGGGTGAAAAGTGGTATAAAAATTCCCAAGTGAATAGAGCTAGATAGCTGGCGAGGACAAGCTTCATGGTTCACATCTCCCCAGTGTCTAGCTGTGGATTTGCTTTGGGGCAAACGTCAAAAGCACTGATCATTGCCTATAAAGCAGTACATGATTTGGAGCCAGGGTACCTGAAGCCAGGGTACCTTTTTCTTTTGTGGCAGTTAAAATCCTCAACACCAGAGACTCTGAATGGGATATTCCCCACTTTCAAAGGCTAGGTGAGTGAGCATCAGGAAGGGTAACATTTCAATGCTGGCAATCGGGCTCTGGAATCCTCTTCCCACAGAGATGCTGAATTTGCATTCTTTATGCACCAGGCAAAGACATTTTTGTTTTCTCAAGCCGTTTAGAACTCTTGTAGTTTTTAGCTGTCTCAAATTTATGCTGCTGTTGGGTTGCATCCTACCAGCTTTTCCACTGGTGCAAGGGGGAAGGTTGTGTGTGGGGTCACAGAACCTGCATGGACAAAAAGCCTTTCAGGATGAAACTGAAGTGACGAAGGAAATTAATAAGATTGCTTCTCTTGCTACAGCATGAAATCCAGTAAGATCCCGCACACTGTGTTTATGCCATTAGGACTTTTAGCGGGTTTATTATTCTGTGGCATTCTTAGGAAGTTTGGGTACTTTTATCCTACTTTTAATACAGTGTTTCAATTGTCTTTGTTCTGTGTTTGCTGCTTTTTTAATGATTTGTTGTCATTTATTTTGTTAGTCACCTCATAAATATTTTTACAGGGAGGTGGAGCATAAATATTTTAAATAACATTGCAATTTCACTAAGTCACCTCATGCTAGACTGCAAACTCTAGTATGTATCTGCAAAGCTTGTTGACCCCAAGTGAGTTTTGTTTCTTAACAACCAAAAAAATCCCCTGATGTGTGTTAATTGGTGAGTGTTTCACATCTAGTTTGGGAAGCTAGTGAGAAACACTGGGCCAAATCCTGTTCAGTATAAATAGTTGGAGACTTCTTATGAAGTGGTTACTGTACCTTGGTGCAATTTACAAATACCTTAATGGTACTCATTTTCACACCACTGTATTCAGTATTCATGATTAATTTGTCTGCCTTCCCCTTCCTAGAGCTATTGTTTTACTTTTATAACCTAGTATTTTTAACTTGAAAGCTTACATTCCTTGACTCCTGAACCTGACTCATGAGAGCTCCTATTTCCATAAACCTTCTAGGAATGAGAAGATTGAGGTGCGTCTTGTGAAACGCAGAGAATATAATGAAGAAACCGTTCGGTGGGCTGATGCTATTATAGCAGCAGGAGGTATTAACTTGTGAGTGGGGAATGGTATTTTGAGTTACAATAAACTTGAGTGAGAACTCTTGTAGCAGTATGGGAAATTGGTTGAGTGGGCCACAAACAATTTAAACTGAAGTATCGGGATAGTGATTCCATTTCTGATAACTTTTAATTCTGGGAATTCAGAGTCTACAATTTTAAACAGGATTAAAACCTGACTTTTAGTGTTTCAAAGTATGCATCCTCTTTTCCCAAACAAGACAAATAAAACTAATCTTACCCAATTTTGTATGTCTGTGAAAAGACTTGAAACATTACTAATTCATTCAAATATGTATGTTTATGCTGTTGCTTCCAGGATTGAACTTTCCTGTTTAACTATGATAACTTTGTTACTTGGCTTGAACATAGTCAGCATATCTGTTCTGCTGCTGTGTACACTTTTGTAGGCTTTCTGTGTGGGAGAATCTCATAGGATTCTTTCAGTGAACTGCTCGGAAGTTACAAAACACAACTTGCAAAAACATACTTTTAAAAGTTCCTCAGAATACATGTGCAAATTAAGAAAAAGAGCAATATGTTTCTAAAGCATGTACTGGTGACAGTTTGTGTGCATCCATCTTTCTTTATAGAAGGTATTTTCTGATGACAATTTGCATTTCATGTTAAGTTCTGTCTTTTGGTATAGGGTTCTACAAATTGCTTAAACTATACAGGCATAAGCCTGCTTGTACATGACACTTCAGAATACTTAAATGCTCTTACATAAAAGCAATCTGATCGGAAGGGAAAGGAGTTTGTAAGCCGCTCTGAGACACCTTTGGGTAGTGAAGGGCGGGGTATAAATCCAATCTCTTCTTCTTCTTCTAAAGCATGTACTGGTGAGTAACAGTTTGTATGCATCCATCTTTCTTCATAGAAGGTATTTTCTGATGGCAATTTGCATTTCATGTTAAGTTCTGTCTTTTGGTATAGGGTTCTACAAATTGCTTAAACTATACAGGCATAAGCCTGCTTGTACATGACACTTCAGAATACTTAAATGCTCTTACATAAAAGCAATCTGATCTCAACTGTGTACTCTGCCTAGGTGATGGCACAATGCTGTTGGCAGCCAGTAAGGTGCTGGACCGATTAAAACCAGTTATTGGAGTAAACACAGACCCAGACAGGTGAGCCTTAAAAGGTATCTTGCATTATTGTAAGACAATCCAATATAATCCTAGTGGTCGTTTGACTGCCATACACTTTGATTGCCATAAATATTTTCTTATCCTGGATAATTGTTATAGTGAGTTTTGTATCCTTGATTTATATAGAAAGGTACAATTGTAGATTTTAGTTAGTTATGGTGTCTATAATGTCATCAGATTTCAGTCTTACCTTTAACCACATGAACTCCCAAACAAGAACTGTTACGAAAGAGTGCTTTGGCAAAATTTGGCAGCCTATGTGAAACAGTTGACAACTTGCTTGGTCTCCCAAGAATACTGTTCAAAAGTCAATAAGTAAGACAATACTGGATTACATTTTGTGCTTTATAATGGGTGAGAGGGAACAGTTCTGTCTGAAGGAGACAGAAAATATCACTGTACTTTAGTCTCATACTTGCACTGTGGTTTTCTTACACAGATCTGAAGGCCATTTGTGTTTGCCTGTACGCTATACACATTCATTTCCAGATGCTCTACAGAAGCTCTACTGTGGTGAATTCAGGTAGGTAAGAGCTGAATTTAAAACAAACCCCCCCCCCCCCCCGAGACAGTTCAATATGAAAGGAAATTCAGGGCTGCACACTTATGGGTGATTATAAGATCGATCAATATAAGAAAACAATCATGAAGAACTACTGCTACAACACATTAAAGTGTGCTATATAGTCTTGCTGTATTTATCCTGGATTGTTAATATGTAACCTTCATGAAATTGCTTTGCTGAATACTCCTGTGAAAGACTGAAATCTAGGTGCTGTGTTCAGTTATCTAAGAATAAAAAGTAGTCAGTCTTGAAGATTTGACTGACAGAGTGGCTGATTGGTGGAATTTGCAAAAATGAATACACAGCAAGGCAAGTTCTGGACATAGTTGGAAACTGGCTAGAGGTTTACCTCCCATGTGCAAAGAATAGGAGATGTCTTATTTTGAAGGAAAAGGTACAGGAGAGATTTAGTGTTTTCAAATCAATGTAGCTTTGACAGGGTTTTTTTGTACTAACTTAGGTTTAAACTGTTGTAAACTCAACTGTATTTCAACATATGTTCAGAGGAAAGATGAAATCTTGTGCTGATGAGGCTTAGTTATTGTGTGCAACATTTATCAAGTCAGCGAACTATTTGGTAACACTAATAACACTCTATTGAAACACTTGTCAGTGTCTCTTAACCATGACTAAAGTAGCTGCTTTAAACAGGAATATTAGGCATTGTATTTAGCTAAGAGAAATCCTTTGTACCTTTTCTAAATAACATGGTTGTGGAAGTACCAGTTGCACTGGCCAATGTAATGAAAGGCGTTCTGCAAGCCAAAATTAGGTTGTGATAGGATTAAATCTAGTTTCTGCACCTCTACCAGAATTACAACAATGACTAAAATAGGTTGCCATAGCCTTTGTTTCTCCTTCCTTTAGTGGTATAACTTTAAAATTGCTGCTCAGCTAAAGAACAACATACTAGACACACATGAACATATGAAACTGTCTTATACTGAATCAGACCCTTGGTCCATCAAAGTCAGTATTGTCTGCTCAGACTGGCAGTGGCTCTCCAGGGTCTCAGGCTGAGGTCTTTTACATCACCTACTGCCAGATCTTTTAACTAGGGATACGGGGATTGAACCTGGGACCTTCTGCATGCCAAGCGGATGCTCTACCACTGAGCCCCTCTCACACCAAAATCTCTCCACCATTGTAACTTCAGAAGAACCAGGGTTGGATCCAGCTATCTATTTCACTCCCTCTTCTAACTTCAGAAGAACCAGGGTTGGATCCAGTTTTTCTTTCCAGTTTTTCTCCTTACTACAGCTGCTGTTGCATATGGCTTTTGTTCCCAGCATATCCGTTTTGGATAGTCAAATGGGCGCCCCCTGACTTTTTCACCAACAGAAAAGCTGGTTGGATCTAAGCCTGTGTTACTTCTCCAGGAAATCTTACTTTCAGTTGCCGAAAATTTTCTGGTACAATAGTAAATAAGAATATTTTTTCTGTCTTAAATCTGTATGAACTAGACTCAGTGGGCTGGATCCAAACTCATGAACATTTAGTTGGCAGAAGCTGATCTCCTCCCGCAGCCCTCTGTGTCCCCCCCAAAAGCTACTGCTGAGGGTCAAGGACCCTACTAAACAAAGTGCTAAGAGACACAGAGCACCGTCTTCCTTCTTCCTCTGCTCAGCCAGAGGTTTCTACACAATTCCATTTTATTGCATGCACCACCCCCACGGCTGCATTTTATTTAGAAGCAGCTTTTAAGGATATATGGAATTTCTGGGGAAAGGGAAAGGCAGGGAATATCCTCTTTGAATTCCTTCAGTTTGTGAGTTTGGACCTGACCAAATGATTTTTACATCATTGATGAACTTAATGATACTTGGAATACATCTGTGCAGATGACCCTTGTATTACTGGTGGAAACAGAGTATATATTTACAGTTGTTTTGGTCTGCCTTTTATTTAAGATGGCAGTGGCGGCAGCGAATCCGGTTGCACCTTGAAGGGACAGGTATTAACCCTGTCCCTGTTGACTTGCACGAACAGCAGTTTAGTCAAGAGCAGCATAGCAGGGCCCATGTTAACGAAAGATTTCAGGATCAAAGTAAGTATAATGTTTACTTTGAAATCACCTCAGATTGAAGCACTTTACTTTCACCTGGAGAGAGGAGGACACTGACAATAGAGTACTCTCCCACTCACAATTCTTGGAGGCAGGAAGTAGGTGGTTTGTTTCCAGAAGAGATGGAGCACCCACCATCCTCAGTTCTGTTTCCTGCCTCCTCCTGAGAACAAGGCAAGGAAAGAGCTCCATGTTTCTTCATTGAACTCTTAGGTTGTTTCTTCCTTTGTGCACCTATACTTACTGGATCTGTACTCTTCTCAGCTCTAAAAAAAAGAAAGAAAGAAAGGCTGCTTCTTTTCTACTACTTTCAGTTTCCATTTCTCTGAGTCCCCTGCTCATCCATGGCAATGACCTCAGCAACTTCCTTGCCTGCTCTATCAGACTTTGCAGTATATTCCAAGCAAGAAACTGAGGCAGCAAGGCAAAAGGGCTGCACAAGACCATGCATCTTTCCACCATTAAGCAGCACCTACGCAAAAGTGCAGATCAAGACGAGGAGGAGATTGGATTTATACAGGGGTCGTTTCGTAGAAAAAGAGCTAGGGGAACTCATTAGCATAACTCATTAGCATATGCCACACCCCCTGACATCACTGGAAGTGTGTCATAAGGCCACACCCCCTGACATCACCGGAAGTGTGTCATAAGGCCACACACCCCGCCCCCAACGGTCCCGGCCGCCGCTGCCGGCCTTGCAGCTCCACTGCTGAGTCCCATGAGGGGCCTGGCGGTGGTCCTGCAAGGCCAGCGGGAGTGCGAGGAAGCCCCGCCAAGGCCCTCCCTGGCCCCAGGCAGGCAGGGGTGGGGAGAGGCGGGGAGGAAACAACTTACCCTCCCTCTTCTCCTGCCTCCTCCTGGCTGAATGAGGGCCGGAAGCGGGGCGGCCGGAAGCAGGGGGCGGGGCTTCGTCATGTGCCCCGCCCCCCGTACCTCACCCGGGGGAACTGCGATCCCCCGCGAAATGACCTCTGGATTTATACCCCGCC